CACAATGTAAAGGAGACTTTCGGTGCACCCCAAGAACTGTAAAAAAAATACCTGACACATACATTCTCCAAAAGAGATGATTTTCCCACCAGGGATGAACCCTGCAATCACTTTAGGAACAACAACGGAGGAGAAAGCCATATCTAGGGTGGACAAGTGGCAGAGGAACCAATACATGGGCTTGTGCAACTGGGAATGAGATGCCACCACCCAGACAATCAAGGAATTTCCAGAAAGAGTCAGAATATACATAGACACAAAGAAGAGTAACAGTGGCACCTTCAGCTCCTTGGGGAATGGGAAGCCAGAGAGGACAAACACATCAGGCGCTGTTTGGTTTGGGCACTCCATCCATGGAAAATGTATCGTGGGTAAATGCCCACAATCGTTTTCTGTTTCTCTTCCAGTACAAATGTAGGATTAAAAATCCAGTTACAAATCCTAGGATTACAATTCCTATCTACACATTCTTATATGCAAACGTGGGTTATCTGCACAACCATGCACAAGGCATTCTGAACAGTCTGTGAAACTGACGGCCATTCTAGCTTGGCGTCCTCCAGAACCTAACATTCATTTAAAAGGTGGTTGCTTGAAAATAAAATAAAATTGAGAAACACTGAGTTTAAAGGAAGTGGATGAGTGACAGACGTACCAAGAGTACTCAGAACTATTGAGCAATGAGACTATCTCACATAGTCATGAATATGATTGTCAATTTTAGAGTCAAAGTAGACCCTGCAAGAACCCTTTCCCCTAAAGGAACAGATTCCTGTTTTGTCCTGCAAATGTCCCTTACCCTGAAAGGACCTGTATATGCAGGAGCAGGAAAATAGAATCGATTACCCACATCTTGCTTAGTTGTGAATTCTACAATAAAATACGGGATGTCCTAATCAGCCCCCTTTGATCAATAGACACAGCTGTCCAAAAGAGGGACTAGTATCCTTTCTTCTATCAGATCTCCGCCCTCACATCATGTTTGTAGTGGCGAGGTTTCTTTATTGCTATGAGGGTTCGAGAATATAAGGTTAAAGCTCTGGCAGGATGACTGTCTTTGTATATTTAAAACCTGTGGTTCCTATGTTTTTGTTGTTCTCTTTTGCATTCTATGCCAATAAAGGTTTTGACTGACTGACTGCTTTGTCCTCACATATGCCATGTAGACACACTCTCAAAATAAAGGGACAGTGCCCATGTTTTAAGGTTCCCTCTCCACTCATTTACATTTGGTATACTGTTGACGGCTAATGACTGGGAATAGAATTCAGAAATTCTGATTTTGGGAGCCTTTTCCGAAACTTGCTAGACATCAGAATTCGACAAGAGGATCCAGACATAAAACCTGCATTTCACTCCCATAACATTTTTGGCATGCCCCTTTAAAGACTACTTAAATTTGAAATGATAAGTTTGAAATGATCTTCATAACCCACCTCAGCAAGGACATGAATCCAACTTGAATTGCCCACTCTTGTTATAATGAATATTTCAGTGAGGTGCCATGGCTGCTACAGGATTTCTAACACTCTCTCCTAGAAGAACTGGTAGAAACCACTGACGGATTTTTGAGTTTCATAAGACACCACAGGCTACAAGCGCTTACTTGTTACTTGCTGACTTCTTAACAGTTCAGTTTGTTCCACCAATAAACTTATCCGAGATTTTTATCGATGGAAGATCTGGTTTCCCACTGACTAATGTGAGTTAAGCTTCTGCAAACACGTCTTCCTCAAGCTCAACATCTGAAAGTGAAGCATCTTGGATAGGAGATTCTGAAGCAAAGATTTCCTTCTAGAATGGCACCAGTGCCCTCTGTCGCCCCTGCCAGAGAACAAAGAATCCTGTGGCTTCTTGAAGACGGTCACAGATTCTGGCAAATGGACCACAGTCTATTTGGCCAAATTCTTTTCTTGGTTCTTCTGCTGTTTCATTTCTTTGATCTTCAGTCAAGATGTTGCTTTACCCTTTCGAATCCATGTCTTCCAAATGTTTCAGTTAGACGATGATGATTTTGCTTGCTGCGTATTTTCACTTAAGGAGAGATTGCTATTAGCTCTTAACTCTTGCACCTAGACAACCTGGACAGGTGGATGCATCTAAATGGAAGTTCTTCATCAATTCAGGTACACCCACTGGTAGGGATAATGTGTTGGCTGAGTGTTCTCCACCACCGGGAATACATACTACTTTCTCCTAAGACTTAAATGATTTTATCATCTGCATGTCCCAAGCCTCCACTCTACGCTTTCTCCCATGTGTCCTCGTGGTCATGTCCCTATCGAGAATTGAGATGTTTCATCTTGTTATCAAATGACTTATTTGGAGGAAGTATATTTTGTTTGCTAGGGTAATTTTTTTTTGTATGAATAGACTCCTGCAGTGGTTCTCAAACTTTTTGAAGTGGTTGCTCTTTAGGCTTGCCAACCTCCAGGTGGGGCCTGGGGATCTCCTGAATTACAACTGATCCCCCAGACTACAGAGATCAGTTCCCTAGAGTAAATGGCAGCTTTGGAGGGTGGACTCTATGACATCATATCCTTCTGGGCTCCCTCGGCAAACCCCGCCCTCCCTAAACTCCAGCCCCAAATCACCAGGAATTTTCCATCCTGGAATTGGCAACCTTCTCCACTTCTTACTATACTTTTTGGGACCCCCCTTGCAAAGTAACTCAATTCTTTGTTCCACACTCAGCAACATAAAACAAGGGATCTCACATCGATCAGTGCTGAACAACTTTGTGTTTTATATCACATTTTTTAAATTTATAAATATATATTTATAGGTATAGTGTTCTTGAGTGACAGGCTGTATCTCATGGGTATTTCGAACATGCCTCCCGAACTTTACCCTCTTCCTTCTATTCTGGGCTGGCCTTTTTGGCAAGAGAGCGGCAACCTGCCTTTCAGTCCTGATCCACAGTTTGAGAACCGTAAGCCCTTACGGCATTTCCTAAGCTCCCCAGCAATGGCACAATATTTTACCCAGTTATGTATGTACATAATTTATTTGCCATGATGTGGGTGGCCCAGGCTAGCCTGATCTCTTCAAATCTCAGAAGCTAAGCAGGGTCGGGGCTATTTGAGAGCCATAAGCCCTTACGACATTTCCCAAGCTCCCCAGGATTGGCACAATATTTTACCCAGTTAATTTATTTTACCCAGTTATGTATGTACATAATTTATTTGCCCTGATGTGGATGGATGGCCCAGGCTTGCCTGATCTCTTCAAATCTCAGAAGCTAAGCAGGGTCGGGGCTGGTCAGTAAATGGATGGGAGACCACCAAGGAAGTCCAGGGTAGCAACACAGAGGCAGGCAATGGCAAACCACCTCTGCATGTCTCTTGCCTTGAAAACCATAGGGGGTGGCCCTAAGCTGGCTTGATAGCACTTTTCACCACCATTTAATTTATTTCCTTTATGCTCTGCCTTTCTCTCCAATGGGGACTCAAATCCACTTACATTATTCTCCTCTCCTCCATTTTGTTCCTCAGAAGAACCTGTGAGGTGAAGCTGAGACTTGGTGACTGGATTAGGGTCTGTTCCCGCTGGTGGACCTCCAGATGGCACCTGGGTTTTGGCCACTGTGTGACACAGAGTGTTGGACTGGATGGGCCATTGGCCTGATCCAACATGGCTTCTCTTATGTTCTTATGTCCCCCATGACAGAGTGAGGATTTGAAGCTGGAGTCTCCCAGATCCTAATCTGACACTGTAATTACCCCGCCCCGCTGGCTGGATAGGAGGTGGAAGAGAGTCTTCTGTACCTCAGGATCCACAGAGCCAGTTCGATAAGGTAAGGTCACCATGGTTTGGCAACATTTGGGCTAAACTCTGGTATTGTGTTAAACAATTTTTTTTAAAGACAAACATAACATAAAATGAGGGTATCCATTACCTCCTTTCTTGTTTACAAATCTCTTACCTTACAAATCTCTTACCTGAGCAGAACATAGATCTTGTAAAATCCACCCTAAATCACTGTATAATTCTCTTGCAAATACGTAAAAATAAAGTTTTAATATCCTTAAAGTAAATTATGAGTCCATATGCTTTATTTATTGTATTCTTCAATTCGCTTGTAGAGTTTTGACCAAGTATTTTCAAAGATTGTCTCTGGTTGTCCTTTCAGAATTAGAGTTAATTTATCCATTTCAGCAGTTTCCAGCATTTTATTTACAAGTTCTTCTCTCGAGGGTATTTCCTTTCTCCGCCAGTATTTGGCATAGAGTATTCTTGCCACTGTTATTACATGAATAATAAAATAAAAATCTTGGCTTTTTACAATTTTCGGGTATAATATTCAATAAAAATAATTCTGGTACATAAGATTTTTTAACATTTTTTGTAAAATTTCATGGATCCAGACCCAATATTTTTTCGCTTCATCACATAACCACCACATATGATAAAAGGATCCAATATTATTTTGACATTTCCAGCATATATTTGATACTTAAGGATACATCTTTGCAAGTTTACCTGGGGTAATATACCATCTATGCAACATTTTATAAATATTTTCTTTATATGAAATCGCTTTAGTAATCTTTACATTTCCCCCCCACACCTGAGCCCATTGCTCCAATGCAATACTGGGACCCAAGTTTCGCGGCCATTTTACCATAGAGTTTTTCACTACTTCGTCCTGGGTCTTATTATCTAGCAATAATGCATACAATTTCTTAATTTCTCATCAGAATGTAACAATATCTTATCCATTTCTGTTATATTTGGTATTGTGGATGCCTTGAATTATTATTATTATTTTTTAAAAAATATATTTTAATCTATGTTTTGTTTGTTTTATTTGTGCCGTGCATTTCTCTCTAATTCATGCCCTCCATTTTGAAGTGAACTGGATGCAGTTCTACAGTCACTGTGACCACCTCCCCAGCTCCACTCTGATACTCAGCCTGATCTACATTTGGTGAAACCAAATTGAGTTGATCTGTGATGACAGCTTAGGGCAGAACCTAGCCATTCAAGCAAGGTGCTGTTTAGTTGGAATTCCCAACCCGCAGTTTTGACAGAGCGGCCTTCATCTCTTTATTCCTGAATGTGTAGATGACAGGATTCAGAAATGGGGTTATTGTGGTATAGAACATGCTCACCACATCATCCATGGTGCCCTGAGATACTGGCCTCAGGTAATGGAAAATGACTGGCACATAATAGATTACTACCACAGCGATGTGGGCTGTGCAAGTGGAGAAGGCCCGGCGACGCCCTTCACTGCTGCTGATCCTCAAGATGGCGGAGACAATATAGACATAGGAGGTCAGGATAAGAATGAAGCAGGTTATGGCCACCAAGCCAATGCCCACTGCAATCACAGTCTCATTGAAAGTTGTGTCTACACAAGCCAGCTTCAGCAGGGCAGGGATGTCACAAAAGACATAGTCAATCTGGTTGCTCCATCCATAGGGCACTTGAAGGGTGAGGATTGTCTCGAAAACTGAGTTGAGGCAGCCTCCCATCATGGCACCCAAAGAGAGGATGAGGCAGACTCTCCAGCGCATGATATGGCTGTAGTGGAGGGGCTTGCAGATAGCAATGAAGCGGTCGTAAGCCATAACAGTGTAAAGGAGACTTTCAGTACATCCGAGGAAATTAAAAAAGAATACCTGACACATACATTCTCCAAAAGAGATGATTTTCCCACCGGGGATGAACCCTGCAATCACCCTGGGGACCACGACGGAGGAGAAAGCCATATCCAGGATGGACAAATGGCAGAGGAACCAGTACATGGGCTTGTGCAACTGGACGTCAGATGCCACCACCCAGACGATCAGGGAATTTCCACAGAGAGTCAGAGTGTACATAAGCAAGAAGAAGAGTAACAATGGCACCTTCAGTTCCTTGGGGAATGAGAAGCCAGAGAGGATAAACGCAGCCGGTGCTGTTTGATTTGGACACTCCATTAGCAGAACATCTATAGCAGGGTCATTGAAGCAGCGTCAGGAAGCCTTTGTTGTTCCTTTCCCAAAGCAAGGGCAGGATTACAGTTCCTGTCCGAACATCCTTTCACAAAACTGCAGGCTATCCACATGAGGATACCTGCGGAGTCTTATGTGAAAGGGACACCCTTGCTAGCCTGAAGACCCCCAGAACTTAACAGTGTACTTAGAAGGTGCCAGAAGTCAATAAATTTGAGAAAACTGGAGACACACTGAGTTTAAAGTAAGTGGACCAGTGCTAAGTGTACTGATGTCACATAAACCATTAGACCAATTTCTTAATCAGACTGCCCTGACCCAGATAACCCAGGATAGCCTCTCGCCAGATCTCTGAAGCTAAGCAGGGTCAGCTGTGGTTAGTACTTTGATGGGAGACCTCCAAGGAAGTCGAGGTTTGCTATGCAGGAGCAGGCAATGGCAAGCCACCTTTGTTTGTCTCCTGCCTTGAAAACTCTACAAGGTAGCCGTCAAACAGCTGCGACTTGATGGCACTTTCCAGTTAGACATCACAGTCCTCACATAATCTGGAACTGATCTTGGAATATAGAGTCAAAGCAGACAAACTGCTAGATGGAATGGTCTCCTCCTTATATTATGTACAAAGATAACCTAAAAAATAAAGGAACAATGCTCATGTTTTAAAGTATCCTCTCACCCTATTTAAGTTATGTGAACCGCTTTCTAGTAACAATCGGGAATGCGATTCAGAAGTCCTGATGTTTTGGCCTTTCTTCAAGCTTGCTGGGCCACTTCAGGAGGGCTTATACAGGAGAATACCAAAACTAGCTTCTCACTCCCCTAATATTTTTCGCATGCTTCTTCAAAGACTTAAGTCCACCTTCATAACTCGTTGAGGCTGTAGACCCAACTTTAATTGGTCAGTTCTGTTGAAATGGTTATTTTAGCAAGGTGTTATGGCTTCAGTAGAATTTCTAATTGTCTGTCCTAGAAGGACTGGTAGAAAATGAAGGGTCATCATGTAATAAGATACCGGAGGCTACCAACGCTTACTTGTTACTTGCTGGCTTCCCATCATTTCAGCTTGTTTCACGTATCAACTTATAAATTTAAATACTGATGGAATATCTGGCTCAGTAATGTAAGTCAAGCTTCTGGAAATACATCTTCCTCAGCATCCTGAGCACAGGTGGTGGTGGAGCCAAGATTTCCTTCCGGGAGGGTGCCAATGGTTGTGGGTTGCAGTCAAAACAGCAAAGAGTCTTGTGGCTTCTTAAAGACAGTTACATATCATGGCACGTAAAGCAGCACCTACTTCACCGAAGTCTTTTCCCTCTCTTCTTACTTGATTCTTCCACTGCTCGCTTTCTTCTTCCTTCTGTAGATTTGTTTCTTTACACTTTTAAACCTATGTCTTCCAACTGTTTTAATCATGTAATGAAATTGCTTCCATCACATTTTCTGTTAAGAAGGAAGTCTGTAAAGGGAAGACTGTTTTGCACAGACAACTCAGGCAGAGTGATATATGTAGGTCCCCTTTAATTCAGGTTCATCTGCTGCTAGGAATGATGTGTTGGATGAATGTTCTCCACCAACAGGAACATGTTCTACTTTCTCATATGTCTTTATAGAGTTTCATCATCTGTGAGTCACAAGCTTCCACTGTGGTCATTTCCCCAAAGTCTTGCAGACATGTCCACTGGTGACAATTAAGATGTTTATGACGAACCCTTTCCACTAATTCCAGTGAGTGTTGTTAAATACACTGTTTGGAGGAATGGTATGTTTCTGTTTGCTACAGAGAAAAAGAAAACCTGCTAAATGATTATCTATAGCCTTTTGTAAGCTCTCCAGCTTTGGCAAAATTACCTAGCCAGTGATCTGATCAACTGACACGGAAAAACACTTAATAACATCTAAAACATCTATGGAGGGTTCACACAGCCAGCTCAACTTGGCGAAGTCACCATGGGGGGAGCATCGCTGGGGCTATGCTCTGGTTTTGGGGTGCTTTAAACATCTAAAACATCTATGGAAGGTTCACATAGCCAGCTCAACATGCCTTACCTTCTGCAGTTCTTGAGGGCAAAATGGTGTTATGGTTTAATGTAGATGTGTGGTTCTGGTAAAAATGATTTATTTCCTCCCCACCTTACAGCCAAACTAGATGTTACTTCTTCCATGAGTTCACTACAGGAGGTTAGAACCACACTACAACCGCAAGTCCCAGTGGTAACTGCAGTGTAAAAAGAGGACATGGACTCAATTGTGATAGCAACCACAGTGCAAGAGGAGGAGGGACTGTCACCTCCCCCCAACACCATTTTTGGAGGCCAAAATGGCCTTTGGGCTGCAGGGGCGGGTGTTGTTTGCCCCAATGGGAAGCTGCAATTGCAAGAATTCAGTGCGCCTGCAGCCTCCTGACAGAGTGATAATGCCCCCTGCAGCTCCCATGTTGTTTCAACCGCCGAAAATGGCATGTGGAGGGCAGGCAGGAACGTCGCCCCACACCCTGTGTCCCAGTCCTCACCAGAAGTAGGTCTGTCACTGCTTTCCAGGACTTATAGCTGCAAGTCCCCTCAGTGAAATCTTGCAAAAAAGTGATGTCTAGTTTAGCTCATAGTATTGAGACCAGCTACAATTGACACGTCTCATTCTGATGCTCAGCTATTACCAAAGCAAAGGCTTTGAGTGTCACCATCACATCAAAATGTCAGTATCCACTACTAGAACTGCAGTGTCGCATGGGATGGGATGGAGGATTTAAAAGGCCTCTGGGTGTCTATACATAAAAATCCAGTGAAGGAAGTTTTGCACCATTGTTGCGTGACCAAGAATAGCCCTTTGGGGAGTTGCGAGTCAGTGTCAGTTCCAGGTTTTTTGGGCCCCCAAACCCCATCCGCCCTAAGCTCCAGCCCCAAATCTCCAGGAATTTCCTATCCTGGAGTTGGCAACCTTCACCCACTTCTTACTCTACTTTTTGGGACCCCCTTGTAAAGTAACTTCATTCTCTGTTCCACAGTCATCAACAAAAACAAGGAATCTCACATCAATTAGTAGTGAAGAACTTTGTGTTTTATATCACATTTTTTATTTATAAACATACTAGGAATAAGGCCCATTGTGGAAATAAATATGAACTCTAGAAAGAGGCTCTGGGCGGGTGCCCCGGCCTTAAGCACTCAATTTCAATTTGCTGTGGTGACCTCAGTAGGGTATAATGACACCAAGTCCACCATTTTCTCCAGAGGAACTGATCTCTGCTACCTGAAGAACAGTTGTAATTTTGAGTGATCTCCAGCCCCCACCTGGAGATTGGCAACAATGGTTCCCCAGGTGGGAATGGCTGGTTTGGAGGGTGGAGTCTATGGCATTGTACCTGTCTGAGGTCCCACCCCTCCTCAAACCCCACCCTCTCCAGGCTCCACCTCTCGAATCTCCAGGAATTTCCCACCTGGAGTTGGCAACCCTATCTCCTTCCCAGCCAACCATCAACATACTTTGATCTGCCCCTCTGACTTCAGCTTTCCATCTCCTCCCCCCTCCCTCCTGGGGAGCAGTTGTAATTCTTTTTTTCCTTTTCCCAATATTTTTATTAATTTTGCAACACAAAAAGAGACAAACAACAACAATACATAAACATCAAC